AACATCTCTTGGTGCTCTTTCAAGCCATTTTCATTTTCTTGCCACTCTGTATTGCCTCCGTCGCCTGAGCAATCGTTGGTTGCTTCTGTTGGGAGGGGCGTGGCCTCTGTTTGACTGACACTCAACTCCAACGGGGGATCCATGACGACTTCAGGCTGCTGGAAGGAGATGACAACAAAGAGCATTTAACCCTCACTGCTCCTTAACAGGTTTCTGCTTTAATTTGACTTGTGCGTACGGCACTAAAGTTCTGAAAAAGCAGCAGCAAGTTAGCCAAGTGAGCAAGGTGACACCCGAATGGATGGTGGCGCTTGCTCCAACTGATGGCAATAATCTGTACAGACACAAAGGAGATCATCTGCAGGGGAAACAGGCGAGACAGACGTGTGTGTGAAAGTGTACTGTTGTGGTTGACTGAGACACGCATGCATGCACGCACACGCACACACACACTCACGCAACCACACCCACGCCATTATTACGGCCAGTGGAGCGCAACTATGCATGTGCAATCAATCGGAACTTCAAACTTTGGGGCTCTGCCGCTTCCGCCTGATGAAGCCAAAGTTATTTGAGCATATGTGCACAGTTAGCATTCACTTCGGGGCTGGAGATGGCTGAGGAACTCATCATATTCTGATATCACCATAGGAGCAGGATCACAATACGGTTGGTATTGCCATACAGTTGCAATTTCTAATGGATGGTTGACAATTTAAATAAAGTTTTTCACTGCATGGATAGTTGGCATATTTCTGGGGACTTTATTTACCTCTTGTTGTGTTTGTTCTTCCTTTTCAGGTGGAGGTGAGCGGCAGCCATTGTGCTCGCGTCCGTTGGAGCGTTCCACGTCTTCTGTCTTGGAAGCTAAATCAAAAGTCAACTTTTACAAACAAAACACAAACACTTCTATTGGGAAAAAAAAAACATACCAAGCAGAGCCTCAACATCCATGTTTTTGTCTTTCGAGGGCCTCTCGTCAGCGCCGCCTTCAGGTTCAACTTTGCAGGGCGCATCGGATTCATCAGCAGGCTGCTCGCCATGCTGCTTATGCGAGCACAGCCTGCACACCAACACAACATACAAAAACGCTCAATCTATTGCCCCGTAGCATGTTGCCACTAGCATACTTCTTAGTGATGTGTTACGTATAAGTCTATAATTTGTGCTGCGTTTTATGGCAGGAGTCATTTTGTGGGCAAGATTAAATTTCAAGTTCTGCTTACTTCATCCAGCCTTTGTAGATGTCTTGTAGGTTCAGACTTGTGTTGGGAATGTCCACCTGCACAAAAACAAATTGGCATGGGTTTACAGCAGTGCAGTAAGTTCTACATTTAAACAGAAAAAAGCTCATGTTGGGGCAGTCCGGCAAACGTTTCGCTAACATTTACGATTGTGACCGAATCCTGACGAACTTTGACGAAGACGCAACATTCGCTGCCTGAGCAAATACTCGTAATTGTTCGCTGCTTGGTGGAATAGGGGCTTCATGGTAAAGGAACACAATCGGTCGTTAGGTTGGTGGCAGACCGTCACTGTGGCTTCGGTGTCAGGAGTGTCCTCTCTCTATAGATGGCGGCGGGGTCAGGTGTCCTGGTTGGGAATCAGTGCATGGACAAACTGTTGCTGGTTCGCAAGGAAAATCCTGTTTTGTCTGGAGAAGAGGGGCGAAATGGCTCATGCAGTGCACACTAACGTCGGACGTTTCCGTTAGAAAATGTGGGTGAAAAGGAGGATCAGCGGAGTGGAATTCACCCAGCGTCATTTCCATCATTTCAGATATCTTCCCATAGCAGAGGCCATTGGGGGACAGCAGGCGGTCTGCTTTTTCCAGTTCAGACAGTTCGAAGAGTCTCAAAAGCAATTCCATGAGCACATCGTACTTGCATAATAGCTGGTAAAGCCTGCCGCAGCGCCATCGCTCTGGCTGTTGTTCATGGAAGTACTTCATAACATCCTGCGTTACTCGCTGGAACTAGGCCTCGATGTGCTGAAACCACGACCGTGGATTGGGATGCCAAAATCAGTGGAAACTCGGCCATTGTGGCGTAGATGCTGGCATGGAGAGCTGACATGTTGCTCACATCGCGGTTACCAATTGTGGAGATGCGGTAAATAAGGATACCAAGGCGAGTCGTCATATTTTTACTCTCCACAACAAGTGCTTTCGAAGCCAGCAACAAGATACCCTCCTTTAATGCTTTCAAGTCTATCATAACATGGAACCCAGCAAAATTGGAACTCCCTTCCTTCCCTTGAAACTACAGGTTCCTGGTTAATGTCTCCGATGTGGTTCAAAATGTCACCGATTTTTAAAATGTCTTACCATGTTTAAGAAAACAAAAAGTTTCACGTCATAAAAAGATATGTTGTTCACATGGATAAAAGTGAATAATACTGTATAGTCAAGGGGACTTAATTAAAAATGGGCACACTTATGTAATCATTTAAAACAGTAGGGCTGTCACGAATGAATATTATTTTAACTAATCATTTTATTGATTATTCCAATGATTGATGAAATAATAGGAAAAAATTTAATTTTGCATTAAGGTGTATTCCAAACGTATTTTTTCCTGATTACTGTTTATAAACCAATCGTTGTTTATGTGATATTGTTAAGTGATGAAAAAAATATATAACGCAGCAATATCACACAAGAGTGAATGATGTTGTCCTCACCGACCATTTTGAAACAGATTCAGTCATTGTTTTCCAAAGTAAAAGCAGATGTTTGCAAACCTCTTGTTTTGATGAAACAAAAAAACAGTCCGCTTTTATTTAGGACTACAGACATCAGTAAAGAATTCCTGAGAGGCTGAAATCTGAGCATTTTGAGAAATGTTAAGTTAAACAATGGCTTCAAATCATTCAATTATTTGAAGAATTTTCGCTTAATTTGATATTCGGTTTGTTGTCGATTAATAGATCAATTTGAACACCTCTATGAAATAGATAAAACATTTTTGTGACGTTAGAAAATCCCTTCATCGATCCATACATATGTCTTACAAATAGTCTTGCTGTACACATAGGGAAAAAAAAGATAAACATGATGCCGTATCAAAAATGGGTGCACTTCCATAATGATATAAAAAGTCGATATTTGACAGATAAACATCGACTTTGTGTTGGTCAAACTTGGCAATGTTAGCGATAGCTAGCTGGAAATGGTCGGTGGATGGAGTGAGGGGTTAATTGACACACACCTACAACTGTACGTCTTTTTCCATTCCTTCCAGAAAGCCTGATAAAAACCCTCTTTTGAACTCGAATTTCACATTTATTTCACCTTTATTTGTCCCTTTCCTTCGTCGCTGGTCTGCGATTCAGCAAAATGACAGCAGCTGGTACGCACGCAAAACGGATATTAAAAAATGTCAAATATTTTTCTCCTTTTTTTAGTTACCTGGCTCACATGTTCCTCCAGCACTTGAGCGGCGACCAGCAAACCTTTCATCTTTAAATGCTGTACAATGAGAAAGAGCAGCGACGAGTCTTCCTCGCATGACATGACGAACAGTACATCAATTTGAATTGTTTCCAGAGGAGGCCCTGCTGCTTCACTTTAGATTAAAACACACTTCGCTTCATATCGAAATGCATCATGGGAGTTGTAGTCTTCCTAAGCCAAATAACTCAAACGCGGAAGTAACATTGGGTCAATCAAAGGAGGTTGTTAACTCTTCTTCTTCTTCTTCTCCTTTCGGCACGTCCCTTTTCAGGGGTCGCCATAGCGAGTCATTAATTCCCACCCGTCCCTGCAAACCGCCCTATCAACTCGCATGCCCGTCCTGGCAAAAGTTTTACGCCGGATGCCCTTCCTGACGCAACCCTCCCCATTTCCCCGGGCTTGGGACCGGCACCGGGGAACAGTGCCCTCCCCCAGGGGAGGGCACTGTTCCCCAGCGGCTGGGTTAAAGGAGGTTGTTAACGATATCTATTAATCACGACACACAATAACAATGTGGTATTAGTCATTTTTGAAAAGGCAACCATGACAAGGTAATTTAAATATTAACGTTAATTATTGTTGTGTAGAAATGGTGTTGTATAAACGGAACATTACGGGAAATCTTTGGAAGCCAACTTGCTATTCTGACGTCATAATACAAGAATCATTTATTTACTAAATAAAATTTCATTCATCCATCCATCCATTTTCTGATCCGATTTATCCTCGCAAGGGTCGCGGGGGGTGCTGGAACCTATTCCAGCTGTCTTCGGCCAGTAGGCGGAGGACACCCTGAATAGGTTGCCAGCCAATCACAGGGCACATAGAGACGAAAAACGATCCGTGCTCATACTCACACCAAGGGAAAATTTGGAGTGCTCAATCAGCTTGCCATACATGTCTTTGGAATGTGGGAGGAAACCGGAGGACTTGGAGAAAACCCATGCAGGCACGGGGAGACAATGCAAACTCCATACAAGAAGGCCGGATCTGGAATCGAACCCGGTACCTCTGCACTGTGAAGTCAATGTAGTAACCAAAAAAAAAAAATTTAGTAAATAAGTTATTTGTTAATTAATTGTAATTCAACTCTAATACAATAAAACGATCATTAATGACAATATAACAAAAGTGACCACATGATGTTTAAAAATGAGCGTTAAATTGCCCAGAGATATTAAGATGTCGATCAGGTTGTTGTTTTGCATTTAATGTTCAGGTAAATCATCCAAAGAAATCCTGATCTCTTCTTGGAGGCATTTTTACGTGACATTTGAGAATTCCTTACTGTGAAGACACCTGGAGATCTGGCAATGCTCCCCCTTCAATAAATCACCCAGCACATTCTTTCTCTAACATGTTTTGTATCAGTGGAATATGCACACGCTGCAGATTTGAACACTCAGCACACTCAATAGCAAGCTTAAAAAAAACAAAAACGTATTAACCACAGTGCAAAAGATACTTAAAACATCCAGTTTAAAATGAACATTTGTAATATTTTACCCACATTATCAGCTAAATGCAGCAAATTAAAACATTGCAGGACTCCATTGTCCAGCTATGCTCTATGTTATTCTTCCAATACATGTTATCTAATCACCCAATTAATTGCGTGTTTATGGTACAAGTAATATATATGCACTCTCTTCAACATTGGAATTAATTTTGTGCATTTGACAGGTATTTGCTCAAGCCTGTTACTCTTCAAAGTGCTCTGGAAATACGTTTGCTTTGGTTAAGGCTGAATGTGCTTCGTTATTACATGCATCATGCATTATTCATCACCTTGCCAGATGGCCTGTTTCTTGTTACCATACGTATTCAGCATTTGTTCATATTAAAACCAAGAAGCACATAATGTTCAAACATTCAATACAGGTATTTCTCTGTTAGTTTCCACGAAAGAGTCAAGGAAAGTGGCGTGAAAAGATCTTTTTGAGCTTCATTTTAAGATCAAGTTTCCGACTCTGAAAAAATAGATACCGGCAGCTGCGGCGGATATAGCCCGGTTTTACTTTTCAAAATAATCGTTACACGTTTGCTGTGATTTGTCAGTATTACTGTAAATGTAACATCAAATAAAGCTTGAGGTTATTCTTTGTGTGGCCGTAAACAAAATCAAAAAAACCGCTTTGCGTGGCCGTCTAATTTGTGCTAGTTGCTGTCTAGCCGTTAAGCATCGGGAGCTACTAACATTTTTTTAGCGGGTCGTAATCAACCAAAAAGTCCACCTATGGATATTTTAATGATTATTTCTGTCGGTATCAGTAACAATACACTTGGAATTTGCGCTGAGACGTTGCTATTTTGCCGCTTTGGAATCCTCTGCAAAACTTTTATTTCGGCGGATCGATGTGGAATTTCTGTTAAACGATTTCTTGTGACTTGACGATTGTGGATTTTTTTTTCTTCTCTTTTTCTTCCAGTGGGAGTGTGAAGTTTTTTGGGAAGGAGGAAAAGTTCGCTTGGAAACTTGAGGACATGCGGCGGCGTCCTCGGCGAACTTCGAACAGCAAGAACGAGAATGAAGTGACTCACTTTGGGTCCACATAGAGGTATATTATTGATTGACTAATTGATTGCTTGCTTGATTGACAGATGGCTGGAATTAATCTCATTCTGTATAACGTCAGATGTATTGTCATCTCTTTAATTCATTAAAAAACACAATTTTGTGATAAATGCATGACATTTAAGTGACTAGTGGTTAGCACGTTTGGCTTGCAGTTCTGAAGTTCTGTGTTCGAATCTCGGCTGTGCGCGTGGTTTTTGCATGTTCTTACTTGTGTGCGCTTTTCCTCTCAAATTCCCCAACATGCTTGTTCGCTTCATGGAAGACTGTCGACCAGTCCTTTGTGTCTACATGTGCTCAATGTTATGTTATACCCAGTTTTTTTCCCTTGTATGTGCCTTCACATTTAGTGGCGACCAGTCCATTGATTGTCCTTTATGTGCTTTGACACCGGCTGGGGACCAGTCCACTCAGTGGCAACTGAGACTGACTGCTGACCAGTCAATTATTTGTCTGTATGAGTCCTGAGTATGACTGGTCACCAGCCCATTGTTTGTCTACATAGGCACAGTCTAAAAGGCTTAATGTTAAATAGAATAACGTCGCTTTACCTGAAAAAAAATTGATCAGTTGTCAGCAAAATTCATGTTCACATCTGTAGTCATGCGCTCTTCAGCTTATGAAGATAATTAAATGATCACCATAATATTTTGGATGTTATGGCTGTCAAAAGTTTTCCTCTACATATAAAAAGCTCAGTCTCACATGATGTCAGAAAGCTGCGACCAATCTTGACTAAAATTTATGTGGACATCTCTACTATGCTTCATGTCCAAATAATCCTAACAATTGCGGAAAATGTTCTAATAATTTTCGAGTTTGGAGTGGTTACAAGTACAGATGTCCACATTAACTTTGGAGACTGATTGCAGGGTTTTTTTCTTACTTTTAGCAACGTTAAGATATTTGTAATGTTTTCCAAAAACCTGGAAAAACAAAGATATGTCTTTTTTTAAATCTTGTTTTCTGGGAAAAAAAAACACAAATATATTTATTTTAAAAAATATTTTATGTCCTAAATAATACTACTATTTTTCTCACACAAGTGTAAAAACAAGCTAACTAGTGATGACATCACTTCTTGGGTACATTCTTTTTCTTAAGAGCCACTGCTGAGGTTGTTCCCTCTTTTGGAAGCCGTCAAAAACAAAAGAATGCTGGGTGAAAGTGTTTTTGGAGGTGTGCCCTCTGGTCGTACATTCACCTAAAATCCGATGTTTGTGTTTTCGGTCACCGCAGTAAAGATGCGAGCCGCCGCCGCCACATCGCTGCTCGTGGTGCTCTCTGTTGTCCACCTGCACCTCGGCTGCTGTGGTTATCGGGACGAGCGTCGCATTGACGGGAAAGACGATGTAGAGAACGACACCGCGGCGGCGAAGGGTGCCAGGAAGCAGCCGCACATCATCTTCATCCTCATCGACGATCAGGTGGGTGTGAAATGCCAGCGGCCGGATGTTGTGAAGGCACCTGCTGCCATCTAGCGGTGGGGGTCTGAAGTGCGCTGGAATAAAATCAGCTGGAAAATGGAAAAACTTGCAAGTCAAACACTTGGGTTTCAAGGCGCCACTGTACGTAGGGCGGGGTGACAACAAGTATAGTCTGTGTTGGATGTTGATGCCGATCACGACGACCTGTGGACTTTTCTCCCTGTCAGGGCTTCAACGACATCGGCTACCACAACCCCAGCATCAAGACACCCACGTTGGACAAGTTGGCGGCGGAGGGCGTTAAACTGGAGAACTACTACGTCCAGCCCATCTGCACGCCTTCACGCAGCCAGCTACTCACCGGCAGGTACGAGTGCACTACTTGTAGAAGTACTGGTACACTGCTCGTACTTGAGTGTCCCACGAGTGTTGTTTGGGACGGGCAGGTACCAGATCCACACGGGTCTCCAGCACTCTATCATTAGGCCAAGCCAGCCCAGTTGCCTACCCCCCCACTTGGACACGCTCCCGCAAAGGCTGCGACAGGCCGGCTACGCCACGCACATGGTGGGGAAGTGGCATCTCGGATTCTACACGTGAGCGCTCAGCAGTGAAGTCCTTACCTGCGCAACAATCCGATCGCTAAGTCTGACTCGGCTTCAACGTCTTGCTTCCAGGAAGGCGTGCCTGCCCACCAGAAAAGGATTCGACTCCTTCTTTGGATCCCTCACAGGAAGCGTGGACTACTACAGGTGCTTGCTACTGGGATCTTCACATTTTCAAGTTTTGGGATGTCGCAACACGAGTCATTCACCATGTGACGTTGCGACTCAATTGTGCGCATGTGTGTGGCACGTGTGCAGTTACGGGTCGTGCGACGGCCCAGGCTTGTGCGGTTACGACCTCCACGACAACGAGAGCGTGGCCTGGGGTCACGAGGGCAAATACTCCACCACACTCTTCACGCAGCGAGCTCGCAAGATCCTCCAGAGTCATGATCCCACACGCCAACCAATCTTCCTGCTCCTTTCCCTGCAGGTAGGTCAGTCACCAAAAAAAACCCAAAACGTTCACAATTTATTCTGTTAACCCTTTCTTGCACCTTGTAATCTGATAACATGATTAATTGATTAATTGTCCAATGTAGTAACCTCTGTCTCTGAAAGTATATTGACTTTAAAATTCATCATACCGTATTTTCCGCTCGAAAAGGCGCACCTAAAAGCCTTCCATTTTCTTAAAAGCTCACAGCGCGCCTTGAAATCCGATGCGCCTTGTGTATGGTCATTACGGTAATATTTCTACCCCAAAATGGCTCCTTGCTCGAGACATGCTGACAACGTAGAGTTCAAACTTAAGGCGATCGGTTACGCAGTTGAACACGGAAATAGAGCAGCGGCAAGAGAATTCAACGTTAACGAGTCAATGTTATAACTTGCCGTTGGTTAAGTGAACTGTGTCGCCGCTTTATTAAATAAGTTTTACTGACATCTGATCGTTCTGTTGGCCTTTCCTTGAGCGTAGCTCCATCTAGTGGATGCATTGTAGATTGCGTCTTATAAAGCAGTGCGCCCAATGTATGGAAAAAAAATTACAAAAGAGGCCATTCATTGAAGGTGCGCCTCATAATCCAGTGCGCCTTTTAGTGTGGAAAATACGGTAATTATATTAGTAATTATATTTGAAAAAAAATCCTAAAATAAATATGACCTATTGTCATGAGTTTGCTATTCTTTAGTTTGTTCCCTAATTTTTTTTTTTCTCACTGCGCAGGCTGTGCACACGCCGCTGCAGCCGCCCAAGTCGTACATCTACCCGTACCGCGGCATGGCCGATGTGGCGCGACGCAAGTTCGCCGCCATGGTGTCAACGGTGGACGAGGCGGTGCGCAACGTCACCTACGCGCTGCGCAAGTCAGGCTTGTACCGCGACAGCGTCATCGTCTACTCCACCGACAACGGTGCGCAGCCCTTCACGGGCGGGAGCAACTGGCCGCTTCGGGGGCGAAAGGTAACGGGAAAACACCCAGCGGCCCACCGTACATTGGCAAAGAAAATAGCACTACGAAACAATCACCTTCATTCCATCACGATAGGTGAAAAGTCGTATCAGTGATCATATGATGCGCTGTTGTGATTTTTAGGGTACGTACTGGGAGGGAGGTATCCGCGGCGTGGCGTTTGTGCACAGCCCGTTGCTTCGGCGGCGGAGGCGTGTGTCAAACGCTCTCGTTCACATCACCGACTGGTTCCCGACCTTGCTAGGGCTCGCTGGAGGAAACGTCAGCCAGGTCAGTCACGAATACAAGACCACTTTTAACGCACTAAAAGCTAGAAAAAAAATAAAGCAAGACTAACAAAAGCTATTGAAAAAAAATCCTACTCATCTTTGTCCTTGGAAAAAAAAATATATATATGTATATATACTTAAAAAAAAATCGCTCCCCCCCAAAAAAAATCTTTCAGAAAAAATTGTCAACAGTATTTTTTTAAATAAGATTTTTTAGTCTTTTTACAAGTTACTATTTTGCGTTTTTATGCTTAATAATGTCAAGTTTTTTTTAAAAATGGCACTTAAAAAAAGAGACTGACTTTTTAAAATATACTCATGTATATAAAAGTACAACTTTCCTCAGAAGAAAAAAAATGACTCCAAGATATTTTGTATGTAAAAATATAATACAGGGGGGAAGGAACTGCGGTTTCTCAAGAGCCACTTCCTGCCTGTTTTAGATCTCGCTCGACGTTCAACACACCTGATTCAATTGATCATGATCCAAGGGCTACCCAATCAAAATTTTGAATCCAATTTTAATCGTGATCAGTTATATGACGGCCACGATGAAACGAAACTGATGGTGGGGCGATATTTACATTTCAAACGAGGGCTCTCAGGACTTTCTCAAGCAGCCGTGAGCCAACCCCGCATGGTTCAAGGTTTTATTAAGGTGCGTAAATAACTAACGAGTGGACCCGGCTAATTGTAGGGTTACAATATGGATGAAAATTATTCTGCCAATCATTTTGCAGCTCTCTCTTTTTCCAGAAAGAAAGAAACAAAAAAAAAAAAAAAGTAAAATATGACAATGTTCTGCACAGTTTTATGAAGCAGTAAAAGCTTTTGCTTGTTCTTTAAAGTGCTTTTGGTGACTAGCAATAAAATTTGAATTTGTGTGTGAGCGAGCCGTGTCGGCGCATTGGCAAGTTTTCCACCGTGGCCGTAAGAGTAAAAAGTTTGACAGTAATGGAAATGAATGCGCTCCTCAGATGTCAGCGGTGCACAAAACATGGAGCTCACGGATGCTTTTGGGTTGACATGAAACATAAATTTTGGAGTTTTATTGGCGCATCTCACATAGCGAAGTTGGAAGCTGGCTCGCCCACACACGTCTTACAGTAGTTTTTGCTTTTGGCTGCCTTGGGGAAAAAATAAATAAAAAGACTTCCACAAGTCAAGCAGCCAAGACGAACGACTTGGGAGCTGAAAGTCGACTTGATATATTTTGACATTACAGGTTTGCACAAAGTACACGATCGGCATTTATACTCAAGCATAAGCTACAATATTTAGCACACTCCATTCAGCTTTTACATTAGCATGAATCCTATATTTTCATATTTGTGTTCATTGATCTAATTTAAAAAAATCGGTTTATTATGAATACTATAAAGAATATTCATACAAACAATACTCGAGTTACCCTCAAAAATGACTTTATGAATTTAATTATAGCCTTTTTTTTTCCTACCCCATCTATGAAAGACGTAGCCTTTGTGTCTTGAAAATAAAAGTTGGCCCGTGAGCACCAAGGTTGTTTGCGCATGCTTTCCTTTCGCCGCAGAGCCAAGGTCTGGACGGCTTTGACGTCTGGGGCGCCATCAGTGAAGGCAAAGTGTCTCCTCGCCAGGAGATCCTGCACAACATTGACCCTCTGCACAAGGCCCCCACGCCCGCCCGCGGTGGGGATGTGCCACGCGGAGCCAAAGGTAAATCTGTGACGTGCGAGAATCAGGCCGGTGGGTTAAAAAGAGACATTTAGTTGGTGTCAAAAAATCCAGGAGTACAAGCAGTATAGGTCACAAATGGGGAGTTTTCGCCCAAGATGCTGGTTGTAAACCAGTGTTGACCAACATAAAAATTCCCGTTTGATGACGAGAGTTTTGGTTGAACATGAGGCTCTCTCTCTCTCTCTCCAAAGGATTCAAGAAGCCCAAGAAGAAGAAGCAAAAGAAAAAGAAGAAACTCCTGAAGCAAAGGCCCAAGCAAAAGTCTGCATTCAAGTCATCAAAGTCCAGAGCCACAAAGTTGTACTCCAAGCTCAAAGGCCGCCCGGACCGGTCCATTGCTCGCTCGTCCAAGTCCAGAAGGACGACATATCCAGAGCACAACCTGTCATGGCCCGAGCGCAAGCTCCAGTCACGCGTCAAGGCCAAACGCTCTCCTCAGCCTGCAGATGGCAGCAACGAGCTCTTGGAGTTGCCCATGTGGGACACCTCGGTCCAGGCGGCCATCAGGGTCGGAGACTGGAAACTGCTTACCGGAGACCCCGGACATGGAGAGTGGGTCCCGCCGCAGGTACACGCACAATTTTTAATTAGGATTTTAACTTTTCGATTTTTTTTTTTTTTTAACGGGAAATTTAGCTTTTTTTGTGGGATATTCTTTGAAGGGGGGTGGGGGGTATGTATTTTTTACAAAAAACGTTTTTGAAAAAGTTCTGGGTGTAGTCTGCCTTGCGCCCTAAATCTGCTGGAGTAATGTTTAAAAATGTCTTTGCAAATTGTTTTTTTGGGGGGGGGGTGAATTGCTCTATTTAAAGGGAAAAGTATTTTGAGAAAAAAAATTGTTCGTGTTAATCATTCCAATTATTTCTGTGTGGAACAAGATATTCTGAAAAAGTTAGAAATAGTTATATTTCTTTCAATGAATTAGATTTATTCTGCTGATTTCTTGGGGTGAGCAGGTCCTGCCGACACTGGCGGGCCGCTGGTGGAACTTGGAGCGAGCGCTGCCATCACTCCGGAGCCAAAACGGCAGTGAGGGGGTCAAAAACATTTGGCTCTTCAACATTAGCGCCGACCCATATGAGCGCTGCGACCTTTCCCGCCAGCGCCCGGAGGTGGTGCGCCACCTACTGGCACGCCTCGCCCACTACAACCGCACCGCCGTGCCTGTCCACTTCCCGCCCGATGACCCGCGCGCCCACCCTGACCGACACGGTGGCGCCTGGGTGCCGTGGATTGATCAAATCCAGGAACGAGACCTAGATCAAGACCAGGACCGAGCTAAGACGTATCAACAGAAGGTCCAGCAGAAGAACAAAAAATGCAGACTGTGCAAGCTCAAGGCGTTCTTCCACAAACTCAACACCAGGATCATGTCCAGTCGCATTTGATCCATATTACAACAGCAATTACAATAAGACAACATGTAGGGAAAATACAGTGACTAAATTCGGACCAATCCCCCCCCCCCCTGAAAAATAGTAACAGTATTGTCAATGTACTTTTTCTTGAAAACATTTTTACTAAATTGTTTCTCAAACATAAAGCATAAAAAAATTCCATTAAGTTCAAATATAAAAGAATTTGTCTCTGAAAATATACATTTTTAATCAAGAAGTACTGTTTTTTTCTTCTCCCTCATAAATCACTTGTACAATTTTTTTGCTCATAATACTATTGGTTCTCAACGACTTTTTCCACATGTATTTTGCTACTTTGTTCATCAAACGCAGGCTGAGTGTTGAGTAGTTAACATTTAAATCAGGCTGCACACTTTTTGGATGAATCCTAAATGTTCCTATTTTAAGTCGAACAGATGACTGGTCTTTTTTAGATTTGTGACACACCTTCTGAAATGTGGATTGTTTACCACACTATATTCTTTCTATTGTGTTGTGAGCGACAAACATTTGTTTCATTGTCATTCGCAAACATTGTGCTTTTTAAAGAAATATCTTCATCCACAAGTATTTATTGTCCTGACAAGTACTGTTTTCAGTACTTTTTACAATACTGTTGCCATCGGGTGATGTCGGTGTAAAATGTCTATTAAACATGCCTGCCCCCACCCAACCAACATGTCTTCATGTGTAACACATTTGAATTGTTTGAGCGTAACTCGCACATATAGTATGTGTGTGTGTAAGGGGGGGGCATCAATTGGCCACTAGGGGGTGCCAGATAAATATTTTAGTTTTGCTATAAATCAACTTGTGTAGAGACAGATGACGTCATTCACTGTCATGATGATGGTGAGCAGCGGCCTGTCTCAGCTCATCAATACTCAGTTTAGGGACTTGTTCCTTTTTTGGCTGTACATTTGAGGTTTTAACGTTTGTTGTGCTGGAGAAAAGCCACAGTGCAGTTAAGTGTGTGTGAGAGAGAGCGAGAGAGACAGACAGACAGATACACATGCATGTCACACAAGCTGAAAAAAATAAACTATAGGGAGCAGCAAATTAGTCATTTTTTAAAAATACAATAACATTTCCTTTAGCTTCACATTTTCTATAAGGATCATAACTCAAGTTCATTGCTATTTAAAAAAAAAAAAAGGATGATACATTTTATTCGTGGTCTCTTGTGCATATTGCAGAGGCGGGGGCGCTCAAGACAAAGAAAGATGCAGACAAACAAAAAAATGGAGAGCAGAGGCGTGATAATGCCCTGGATGTTTATTTCATTGACTGACACTTTTGTTGAGGAGTACTTCCATTCATCTTAGCCGCATGATTGCTGACGTGTCCACACCAGCACACACACACACTAGGGGGTGCTCACTGCCATACGTACACAAAAAAAAAAAGGGGGGGGGGCTGAGAAGCTTAGGTACCCAACTCTTCACAGAAGAGATCAGCACATCAATGACCACAATGCCTTTAAATGTCAAAATTAGCTTCTTTTTTTTTTTTTTGTTGTTGTTGGTTTTTGCTTGAAGTGGAATGATCGGTCCTTTTCTGCCATGTCCCAGCACAAAAACAAAAACTAAACAATGTGTTTCTTTTGGCGGACTCAAATCACAAATCAAGCTAAGAAAAAAAATGAGGTACAAAAATATTTATTGTAGAAAAAAAGGTTTGTGAAATGGCGGGTGGGGGTTTGGTTGAAGAAAGAGTGGTCGCAACGGAGGATTGGACGTAAACGTGGCACAATAAATAGACAAGGGCTCTGTGGGGGGCGGGGTTGAGACTGGTCGCAGCAGCGGCATTTGTCCTCTAATTTTTTTTCCAACAAGTCGAGTGCAAAACATCACAAATGAACAACTGTGTATTCAAGTCATGTTATATACAAGAGGGGCGGGTTGGCGGGGCCTACAAATATTCAGTACTGTACATTTAATAATTGCCATATTAACAATTTACAGACAATCTCTTATTAACAGTAACAAATACGGTGGAGGAGTTTTTTTTTAATATATATATACACACACATATATATACACATACAAATATACATATATGTGTGTGCGTGTGTGTGTGGATGAGTGCTCCGCAGAGCGGACACCGCACAGTCAAGTCCAGTCAGTCCGCTCATTTTCAAGCCTAATGGACGATGCATAGCACCTTAAAACAAGAAAGAAAGAAAGAAAAAACCGTGGAGTCCTGTGTGCGATGGGCTACGTCACCTCCATGGCCATTGTGTTCTCAGACAGACTGCTCAGTGGCGCCGCCTTTTCCTGCTCGTGATTCTCCCTGTGGAATGCAACATCAGCACCGTTCACGTTAGCAATGTTGCCGTGCAAAGATGCCATGACAAGAAGGGAATGCCGGTGGCGCGCAATGGCACTTTAAGTCTGCAAAGACATGGTGCCCATACATTCAGTTGTCTAACGTGTGACTAAGTTTTACGTTCCTTCATGGATATGCACAGGCGAATACAATTTTGTGGTTTCGAAAGTCAAAGCACACAAAAAAAAAAAAAAAAGGCTGGCATTGAATGCGTTGAGCGTCAGTTGAAGTCGTGCTTGCAGGGCACTAGTTATCATTCCAGCTGCACCGGTACGCTAATAAGGGTGACGTAGCAGCCAAACAAACCATCACTAACCAGAATATTCATAGTGTTTGTTTAAAGACTAGTCTGTTTTGTGACAGGATGTAATTTTTAACCTTCTGGGCAAGTTTTGCTTTCAATTTTCTTTTTGGACCACATTGCCAAGCCCTAGGCTACTGTTCTAAACTTTTACAGCACTTGAAAACTGTATGTATGTCTATTCTGTTAATTCTAAAATAAATTCTACTTCAGTGTGAGCGAGGTCAGCATGTTCTCATCTCTTTCTATCACTCCTGATATGGTAGGATCGCTTTGCCGAGAAAGATCAAGTTGTCTGTCTGGAGAGGAGAGGTGGAAGATAAACACTGCCTGGTAATGTTAGCATATGTATGACTGCTCAAGAGAAATTATCAGGCAATTTTTAGCAGCCAGGAAGTTATTTGTCTTTAGACTAGAGGTGTCGAAATTAATCGACAACTTTTAAATGAGATTGTATCTGTCAGTTCTCTTCAAAGTGCTTGTGCTGTCTCTTGTCTAGTCAGGAATAGCATTTTTCTCGTGACAATTACCTTTTCGTGTTTGTCTTACCTGGGCACGATGTCGAGCGGCGACGCCGCGGTGGACGAGGGGACCTTGGGCTTCTGACAGTTGGCGGCGGCGGCGGCATGCGCCAGCTTTAAGGCAGACGCCGACATGGCGCTGCTTAGCGTTCGGGGGGCGTGGACCCGTTTGCCGGCGGGCACGGCCAGGCGGAGGCTGTTGCCCAGCGGGACCTGAGTGGCATTAGTGGTTGTGGGGCCAGCGTGGTGGGCAGTCCCATTGTTGCTGTTGGTGCTGCAAGGGGGCGTGGCGTTGGTTGCGCTGCCCGGATGTAAGGAAGCGGCACTAGACAGAGTGGCGGGAGGGGCGGGGGCAGCCAGAGAGGGGGAAGCTGTGCTGGAGAGGTGCAAGCCCTTGTAGACACCTAAAAAGCAACAGCAGGAGAGTCAAGACAACATCTGTGCTACTGCTAAAAACAACAATGAGGAGTGAAGAAACATCTGACATCAAAAAACTGTCATGTGACAGGCACAGCCTGAGTTCAGTTATTTTCAACTACAATCGTCTCATGATGTGCCCTATCAGAAAGGCGGAGGTCACTCCTAAAACAAGCAACATACTGTCTTTACTACTGCCTTTGTTGACGAATTTGGATTTTCTAAACAGTTTGTCAGGTTACATGTGATTGAGTACGTAAAAAGTGATCTTAAACTTTGGTAAAAAGTGATTATTCAAGGTGAGGTGGTGAGTGTTTTTAGACAGAAATACAAAAAATAAAATACATCTAAAACAGACAACATTTTTAAGCCAGTTATGAACCAGTCAAGGGAATGACCATAATCGCCTTTGCCTCAATATGAGCCAGGAAAAACCCCGGAAGCCACCACCGGTGTCAGAAGTGACACACCCACAGTTGTTGCAGTTATGCACCTTCACACAACTGAGCGAGCCACACAGCAACATGGCTTAACTATAAAAGAGTAACCCTCAATTTCCAAGCTTCCAGTGTTTCCAGGCGTGTTGGCCAAGAGGACGTACCTGAGGGGGTTAGGATGCCGTTGACGCCGCCACCCAGGCTGAGCTCCTCCTTGGTTTTCAGAGCCAGAATTTGCTCTGTAGTGACGAGTGCCGAGGCGGCAAACTGAGCGCTGGCCTGGTCCAATGTGTTGGCAGACACCTGAGGGGAGAAAAAGTTTAGAGCTGTGGCGAGCGGCAGATAGCGCGAGTTTAAGAGTTTGGCATCGTGATCACCTGTGTTGTAGTTGTGCTGTGGGCAGTGGTGGCTCTGTTGGCTTGAAGTTGCTGCTGCTGCTCCAGCTGCTCCTTCTGCATCTGCACCAACTGGTCCTGGTGTTGCTGGAACTGCTCAGCTGTCAGGGCTGCCACACGCAAACAGAAAACATGTTGGTTACACACAAACTACTGTAGGAGCAAGAGCATTAAACGCATTGTGACAAGTATCAGCAACATGCAGTCCCCCAAACACGATAGGGATGGCTGCGTGAATGCGAACATCAACAACACATTTCAATGTTCGTGAAAGCAACTGAGGCAGTAACAGACTTCATATAAACAACATAAGGTTGTACAAATGTTTCTTCAAAGCACTGCTTTGACTTAAGCTTGGTTTATGCTTTACGCATCCCCAAGGTCTGCACGGTTCCACGCAGCACAATGATTTCATTTTGGCAACCAAGGCATGCACATTGCCCAAATTTTCTACACTGCGCACTTAAACTTAATTGCACCTCTGCTTACAACTTTTCTTTTGTGAAGACTTAAGTATGTCTTTGGTTGGCTGTGACATCATTCACTTGCGGTCAGAAAAGTAGTTGCCAAATGTGACAATCAAAACTTCAGAGGCACATTTAAAAACAAAAAGACTGTTTTACATGACAGAAAAACACTAAGAAAATACAAACTTCACTTTATTTAAAAAAAATAAATAATAAATCAATCAATTATCGGTTATTTAATCTGCACTGGTAATGGGATACATGCTGCTGCCATTTGTGCAGACTGTACCAGTGATTCCCTGGTCAGTGCCGAGATAGCAAGAGAGGGAGATAGCGAGCGAGAGAGAGAGATGTGCATGTTTATATTATTTAAACTTTTTAAAATTTGTGTTTATTTAATTTTGTCAAAAACAACAATAAATATACAAATCCATTGTTGAGCACAAAATTTGGTCCAGCACTTTGTTAGAGCCAGAAAAGTGCACACAAGACTTAGGGGCCCAGCTCTGTCCTGGGCTGCTCCCTGTACACTCTGGAGGTGGTGGGCAACAGGAGGATGCTATAGCTAATCTAACAGCTATGATGGACAGACCCCCCCACCCCCACCAGGCCACCCTGACAGCACTGGGCAGCTCCTTCAGCCAGAGACCGATACACCCATGCTGCAAGAAGGAGAGATACCGGTGCTTGTTCCTGCCGACTGCTGTCAGGCTCATTGAATAGACTGTCCTGAAAACTTGGGACTCCGCCCAACTCACCCATTTTTAAAATGCTTCTATTTATATTTTAGATTTATATACTTTTTGT